CCTGTTGTCTATATGGAAGTCAGTGTGGATAATGTGTTTGCTTCACTAATGAGAGTCCTGCTGAGAGACAGAGGACAGCGGAGGGTAGAGCCACGGACGACAGGTCTTCAGGGACTGCAGCCTGCCGCCTCTGAATGCACCGCGGCAGCTCACAGTCGTGACCTTCTCCGTAGTGTCCACCCCTGACAGTGTGTTGACTTGAAATGTTACCCAGCATACCTGTTTCATAACAACATTGTTGTTTCAGGGAATTTTCCATCATTACAAGAACACAATTGTAAGAGAAAAACGACATCAACACCTGTACTTCCAACCCAGTCTCACGGCATTTCGTGTTATAGTCACGTTACTAATTCCAAATTAATCTGTTGATTCGTGTTCACCAACACAATTTCCCCATTTTTTTCGTGTCACACAGAACGATTTTAAAAGCAATGTAAATAATAACAAATTAGCAAATATTTAATAAAATACAGATTTCAGTATTCTGACACAGAACGATTTTAGAAGCAATGTATTTCTATTGGTAGTATGTTTCGTGCCTGCACCAAATAATAACAAATTAGAAGGAAAAAAAGATAACAAAAAATACAGATTTCAGTATTCTGAGGCTCTGAGCCCCATTTATTTTCCTCGCGGACGGCAAAAAAACTCCGATATTATAGAATTTAAAAATAAAAGGGATAGGGTTAGGCTCAGGGTAAGGTATTGAGTAAGAAAATGTTTTTATGAACCACACAGCTTCTGGTCTTCCAAGACCCGACTGGACAAAAAGACGTGGTGCAGGCACGAAACATACTATCAATAGAAATACCTTACTTTTAAAATCGTTCTGTGTAACATGACATTTTTTTGAAAATCGTGTTGGTGAACACGAATCAATAGATTAAATTAATTTTGTGACTATAACACAAAATGCCGTGAGTCTGGGTTGGTACTTCAGACAAATTGGTCTCGTCCTTAGTCGAAGTAATACTTAATCAAACAATGTATCTTTTAAAAGAACTAGACAAAAGCAAGTTTCTCATTTGTACCCAGCTACCATCTGTTTTTGTAGCTAGCTGATTGTAGTAGCTGTAGCTAGCAAGCAAGCTAACATTAGCCCCATACATTTGGCCTCTTATAAACACATCCTGTAACCCCAGAAAAACAGCTTTAAATATATTATATGCCTTGGCCGATACATTAACACTGGGTTATGCTATTATTATTGTAGGTGGTAAACTAATGCTAGAACAGACAAGCACATAATCCATTTTCCAAGCCATAACCGGTCAGGCTGTTTAAGCTAAGCTAGTCTGGACATCAACCGTTTGGGTTCGAGTTTACAGTCAATGTGAGTGTAAGATTCCACCTCAGTTTTGTGTAAAAAGCTTGACAGTTGGTGTTTTTTACTCTTCTTTTTATGACTGTGAAGCCCTTTCCAAATGGAAAATGCTTTGTGGTGAAGATAAGGTCAGCATAAGGTCAAGGCGGGTTAGTTGACATTTTAATCCCACAGCAACAATAGGCAAAGCATCTCTCGTTGACATTAACCTTGAGCTCAGTTTCAGGGTCGCATGTGTGATGCCCTTCTCTGTGAATGTAGCTGCAAAGGCCACCTGAGACCACTGTTTGAGATACGACTGAAAACAAGGAGCCTCCTGGGGCCGGTATCTCAGGACGACCCCTACAAAATATGAACTTGTGACCCGTGCAGGGGAGAGGGAGAAAATAGGCCCACAGGGGCTTGTACAAGGCTGACAACATGAGTCAGCTCTGTGACTCCATTACTCACTGGATTGTGTAACCTCATGAAGCGTTTACTGTAGTACTATATTGTTTATCTTAATAACTTTAAAAAAGGGTTAGTTTGCTGAAAAAACATCAATATTTTACATTTAAAAATAATACATATTTATGGGATACTGTGAAAATGAGGGCCCCCACATTATTAAAATGAACATTTATTTTAAAAAAATGAAGTTGATTTAGAAGTGTAAAGCAGGTAGCCAATGTAAATGTCATCTTCCTTTACTGAAATGTATCATTATTATAGTAGTGTATGAAGTAAGCAAGTTTATTTTGTATAACTGGAAACCTCAGAGGCAGAAGTGTATATTACCTAATCTACATAGTAAAATGATCCCCAGTTCTGCCATACACTACCCTCAGTAGGCTACCCTAATGTAGGAAAAGAAAATGTATGCTACAGGGAGCAAATGAGAGTACAGGAAAGAAGTATTTACTTACTTCATTTAGGTGTGTTCAGCATTAAACCTCTTTCCTTTGAGTCTCATTCCATCAGCCCCATACCGCTGAAGCTAATGATGTGAACACACACTAACAGCGAGCCAGGGACAGATGGAGAATCACAAACTAAGAAAATTCTCAGTCAAAACATGGTGGGAAATCTAAACAAAATGTCTGCAAATGGGGAAAAAAAGGAATCTAATATTGTTACAACAGTGCAGTTATACTTTCAACAAAAGCATAATGTGCCTCATTTTGAGTGTCTGGAATGTACAATGTGCCCTGGCTATGTTTTCATATGCATGTAGGTGTTATTCCAACAGATTTCAGAGCGAAGGTGCAGGGAGGAAAAACCATTTGGAACCAATGATGGGAATGATAGACATTGGAAACAGATTACGAGCCCATCTGGTCCGTGCAGCTTGTTCAAAGCCAGCAGACACAGCAATGGGTGTTTCTTCGGAGGTGTATTGCAGCAGAGAGATGTCATTGATTTGTATTTCCAATATAATGCTACATGTTGCTGCGTTACAAACGTTATCCTCCATCTGAACTACAGAGTGGGTTTATCGATGCAGAAATATGAAGACGTTTTGTGCTATAAGGGAAAAAGGCTCTCTGCCTCTGAATAGACCTGAGGGAGATTGGAAGATGGCTGTCATCTGTAACAGTCCACATAATGACTATTCTATTCGTCTGCAATAAAGAGAAACAAATTATGCCACGGCTCCATTCCTCTCTTTGAAGGAATGACAGAGGATCCCTGAATGGGTGAGGGAGGAATGACATGAGAGGCGGACATTTGACCAAGCTGTGGATATAAAAAATTGGGGAGTAAAGTAAAAAAAAAAAGATTTTAGATGCATGGCTCTTTCATATGCAAATAGACTTATTTAAGAAAAATGCATCAAAAAAACCTGCCGCGTGTAGATCATTGTACATTTTTACATGTCAAAGCATCGCGTCACAAAAATGCAACCTTATGAATAGTCATTTTTGAATCAGCTGGTATTTGATTAAATACAGAAGTAAGAAAACATTAATCTGTGTGTGTCTCCTTTATATCCTTTAACCTTTTTCTTGTGGGCCAAAGCAACAGCTTGACCCTGCTGACCTTCAACAAGCTCCTTTAAGCTGCTTCGCTGTGCTGCGCTAACCAGCACTGGGATATATGGTTCTTAAACGAGTAGGGCCATTAAGCTGGGCGAAGTAACGACCTGGGTAAATTAAAATGAATTACTTCGGTTGCTGTTGTAATCACTCAAGCTTTGAGCAAATATGACGGGAGGAGAAGGAGGAGGAGGAGGAGGGCTGCCAAAAATAGCGCCCTAAAAAATAACCCTGGCCAGTGCAGGTCAGTTTAGCACCAATATTTTAGCCTGGCAGTTGTATAACAGGCTGCTGGGCACATATGGATTGTAATGTCTCTGAATCTGAGGTTGCAAAAACACTCAAATAAAAGACCAAGAAGCAGGAAGAGATTGACTTATTGTAAGCCAGACAGAGACTCAAATACACCGAGGCGGGCAACATGGGGTTTGTGGGCCAACTTATTACTTCTCTAACACCCACACTGCATTCTGCTCAGAGCACGCACACGCACACGCGCACACACACCCACACACCCAAGTAGAGGTAAGTCAAATACTGCTGACTGACTTTTAAACAACTGCTTGTGTTACTGCTATCAGGTGCGTACAGAAAACACATCAGGGAGAACAGAAATAGGCACATGGACACACTCAGCCTCTACTTTACAGGGACGGAGGGAGAATAGACAATAAAGAGCCTCAGGAAAAAGCAGCGATCTAAACATAGCTGAGCATATAATGCTTTTGTTCAAAAGCAGAGGCAATTTCACCAGCGAACAGGCCTGTGATGAGACCCGATGAAGTGTTATCCCTGAGTGTAATTTACACACACACACACACACACACACACACACACACACACACACACACACACACACACACACACACACACACACACACACACACACACACACACACACACACACACACACACACACACACACACACACACACACACACACACAACACACACACACACACACACACACACACACACACACACACACACAGACCGCAGTCAGTAAACTGGCTTGACCTCAGCTTCTTTGTTGTAAGAACATAAACTGTAAGTTAAATGTGTTCAGGCAAAGATAGAATAAACAGTAAACTGCTCCTGTTTCACTTTTGCAATAAATGCCCACGCTGCACTGCTGGGATCCTACATCTAAAGCACTGATTTGTATCACACCGCCCGAAAATACAGAAGCATAAAATAGGACTGCTGGACTCTCAGGCCTGGATCAGAACACATACAGTTTTTGTTTCTTTTATCATATTCTTATTTTTCTTTCCTGCTAATGGCTAGTTTATCTCTGGAATTCAGGGTTCACCGAAGTTCTTTCTGCAATGTTTGCATAAAGCTGGTTCCAGCCAAGTTGCTTAAAGACCAACTGAAATCCCATGTTTTGTAGTAAAACAGGGAGAGAAACTCCCTCTGGAGGGAACACAGGGATTTTAGCCTTTGCAGACCATTTACATGCACAGAAACCTATAGAACACACTACAGGAAAGGGAAACCCCTAAAGGCATAATGTGGCCCCTTTAACCGTAGGGTTAACATAATCTAAGGGTTTCAGAAACACTCAGTAGAATCAGTTGTGGGGAACACATACAGAGACAGCATGGACCCGCATTGAACACATGTGCACATTAAAAGATGAGCAAAGAGTCCAAAGGCAGCTCTTAATCATATATTGATCAATTTATTCATTCTGTCAGGACACGTTTCTCCGGTGTCCCAAAGTCTTACACAAAGAAGTCATTGTGAGATGTCCAATTTGTTTTATACCAGAAAACAGGAAAATAAAGAAAAACTAGTATGTGATCATGAAAACAGACACACATTCAAAGACTGCGCCATGACAGCGAGGACACTTAAAGTTTGCTGAAGCCAATTTGATTAGCCAATTCCCCAGATGTACCACTTTCATCTTTTAAAGGTTTTTCTCTGATTTAATTGTACCTGGAAGTAAGGGGAGGGGATGTTGGGGTACACTTAAAATGTACAAAAATAAATTCAAACAATATTTTCAAGACAAACCTCCTCCTCGGGTTTTGAGGGGTTCTGAAGCCACGTTGAGCAGAACTGGTTGGATGTACAGTAAATGCTTGCATGCACGTTGACACAGGCACTGATCATGACTTGGTGTCTCACTTTGTGGGTCCTCAGTCAGGAGACAAAGAGCATTCTGGGAACTGTAAGCTCTCTCAACAAGGCAGTCAACAGGATTACAAAAAAAATGGTCTGTCCATTCACAAATAACCATTCAGAGTGACCATTTTGGATGCACACTTCTTTAAACTGAGGGGAATATGGGCCGAGGACAAAAGAAAATCCAGTAACAAGCTCTCAGGCTCATGATGCGCCTGATTTCTGTTGTATGGAAATGATTAACAAATATTTTAACACATAAAAAATAGTGGCTTTACTCCAGAACCTTCCGACATCTTTTTTTACGATACAATACATTACTCTCAATACAGGCTGAGCTACTGTATATCTGTCCAGAATGGCTCAGCAAGCCAGTGCTGAGAACTCTGGGTAATGTAATAAAAAACATAAAATACCAATCACAAGAAGCGCTCAATTAAGTTCTTTTACAAACAAACAAAAGCGGTATACAAAATAAAAAAAATAAAACAGCAAAACCGATCACAAGTATTATGATGTATAATTAAGGCGAGTTAAAATATTGCAGAATAATTTGGCCCCTGTGTCTCAAACAAACTGCCACAACAGTCAGAGCTCCCCGACTCTTAATCGCTGCAAAGATCCAGAGAACGGAAGGGAGGATGAGCTGAAATGGAAAAAAGAAAGTGATCCTCTTTGGAGAGAATTTGATTATTTGGTTTCGTTTGGTCTCTTTCTCAGGAGCGTGTTAAAGGGAACAGTGAGGACCTCATTTTGCAAATGAATTGAACAAAGTAAAAGATGTAAGATTGGTAACGTGATTAACTCGTGTGTATCCGAGACAGTTTATCTTTTGAGTACAGTATGAAGCGAAGGGGGCACCGAGATCAGAAAATATAAAACTGCTGTTTCATCAACAGCCTGATATGACAGATGACAATGCAGTGCCCTGTGGGAAGAGTGCGTCCTCGTTCTGGTTAAGAGCAGTCAGGCAAAGAAATACAGAGTTATGGGATAGGAAGTCAAGTTTCTGAGATACAAAGTGATACCGCCCCTCTTTTTTTACTGCCATTCCAAGCAAAGAAGATCCCCACAAGCTGTCCCCTCTGTTTGTTAAAAAGGCGGAGGTGAGCGGAGTCAGCTTTCAGTCCTGGGGTCACCTTATGCACGAGGGGCCGCCTGTTTCTGAACAAAAGTATCAGATCAGCCGAAAGGAGGAGGCGTGGCTGTCACTAAAGAAGTCCAAAGTCCACTGTCCTCCTTAGTGAAAGGTGGGGCTGTCCTCCCTCGGCCTACACCCACTCCTGCATGGAGCGCTTGCAGTACAGTATGTGGCGCGGCGTGCCCTTCCTCTTGAACTGCACCACGGTGTAGACCAGCACCAGCAGGCAGAGGGCCAGCACGCAGGGGATGACGATGGCGATGGCCTTCACCGTGTTGGCCTCGTTGTCCAGCTCGATCACCACGTCCGAGGTGCCGTCGTCAGCCGGCGGCCGGGCGGGGTCGACGGGCATCAGGTCGCAGCCCATGAAGTCTTTGAGGATGGAGCGCGGGTAGCCCGGCTCCACCCGCAGGAAGTGGTTGTTGAACTTCCAGTACTCCTTACCCTTGTAGAAGTAGGTGTAACCTGGAGGAAGCAAAGAGAGGACATGTGAGAACATTGTTATCTAGAGTTAGCTAACACACTGGCTTCCATTGTTTAATGTCAGTTTCTCCTTAAGCGTCAAAGTGTACTGGAACAACTTGGTGAACACTTTTAAAATCAGCAACAAGCTTTACAGGGTGTGTTTATTGCTGCTCTTTAAACACATATTTAAATATATTAAATTCAAGCGATAACTGGACAACAAGCCATCCCATCTCTTTGAAATAAACTGGATAAAGTGATGGAAAGATTAACAGTTGAATTTGTCTTATTGGCGGAAGATAAATATCTATGCAAGTTGGATTTGTTCTCCGTAAAAGTACATATATCCATGTTTTAAAACTTCATTTCAAAAGTACATACTACACTTTACTAAAGTAAAAGGGCATCATTTGTGTTAGCAAAATGTACTTGCTACAGAATTGACATTTAAAAGGCTTATACCTTATATGATTTGAGCCCGATTACGGCTACAGTAACATTAAAGCAACATTTCAATGATGTGGCAAATGATTGTATCTAAAATAGCTATTCTTTATATATATATTATAATATAGTTCAGTAGTTTCACCTGTGACAAAGCATCCTATAAGATAATGTGTACAAATAAACTAGTGCCAAGTATATCCCACCAGTGTTGACAAAAACACAATGAAATTATTCCTAGAATCTTTTTATATAATGTGTTTCTGTGTAGAAGGTTGTTTGTACACTATGTGTGCCATGCAGGACAAAGTTCAGCTCACTTTCGATCCAAGAGGAGCATCTTCTTTGTAATGACAATACCGAACAGAAAAAATAGAGATGGAACTGAAACCTAAGTGACAATAACCTGCCTGTGCTGTGAGAGAGAGCACCTCAGACAATTGTTTTTTGTAGTGTTCCATTTCAGCTCCATTATTCAGCTGAGGTGTCTCTGCCTGTCCCTCGGGACTCATTATATCTGGTCATAAAGGAGGAGACACACCCAGCCAGGAGCCAGAGCCCACAGCTCATATCACACAACAACAACAAGTCATCCAGAGCCATGACTGGTGCTTTCTCCAAAGAGCGAGCATTTTTTTGGGGCGGCAATTGTCCCGATGTCACACAAGTTCATTAGTTCACTTACACAGTGAGTCAGTGTTTATTTTGCATGCTCTCCCCTAGAGGAGAAAATACTTTGTTTGTGTCGAGAGAAATTCAAATGACGACAAATATTATTCACAAACCCATTCCGGCAGACATTGTGACACAAAATAAATTGTGATACAACAAAATCAAGAATAGCATTATATTTAAACACCTTGACATGACGACTCCTACTTTGCCAAATGTTAAATGTGTCCCTGGTTGTGAGAATATATTCGGTGTAAAATTGAGCATGACAGCCTGGCAGGTTTTCAAGCTCTCCTCCTCCTGGCTGGCCCCTTTAACACCGTGTTCTCACTATTTATTATTAATGCACAGGCTTCTTCTCTGGGAAAAATAGGCTAGGTATTGTCTTCTTTAAATCACTTGTGAGGGGATGAGGCGAGGGAGCCCAGAACGAAGCTGTAAAAGATTCATCTGGAAGGGGAGGACATGATCAAACAGCATGAAGGAAGAGGAAGAGGATGTGCTCAAATACGTCCTCATACGATCAAACAGCATGAAGGAAGAGGAAGAGGATGTGCTCAAATACGTCCTCTTGTCTGAGTTTGTGAGAACGACTGAATGCCTATACAACAGACATCTTTCAGCTGATTATGAGCAGTAGGAAACCTCTCATATCATTTTGGGAAAAACACATACTAGCTTTCCTGCCAAAAGTAGTTTGAGCCAGGAATCGATCAGCTACGCCAATAGCAAAATTAGCGTAGCTTAAAGACTGGAAGCATGGGGAAACTCTTATACACCGTGGCATTGTCTATAGAAAACTCACAAATGTAAGTATTTTATCTTTTAAATTGTGTCTTGTGGTGACTTTTGAGTAACACGCGTTAACTGTTAGTTTCTCCTAAAAGTAAGCAATAAGTATTTCCTGGAGTCCTGTTCTTCAAATAGTTACTCATTGCTTTTACATTTCTGTTTTTGTACAAATGTGGCTTCATGACATGCTAAGCTATATACTTAGCATTCAGACATAAAGTGGTACAACTCTTGTACACAACCCACTTCAAAACCTCATTTGAAGTTCAGATGAGTATTGTGATTTGTATTTGTTCTCCAATCTGGCCTCAGCTACTGCAACACTTTTCTCCTACATTGAACTCAAATGAAGTGCAGTTATTGAGAGACTGAGAGATCCAGATGAAGCAACCACCACATGTTGAGCATGAATATTAGGAGAGGGAGAGAGAAGGGAGGGGGGGTGAGAGGTGAGGCAGCCTGAGCTCTGTGGGTCAGAGACAGGTCTTCATTGCCTCGGGGGCCGCTGCTCGGCAACATGTTCACACACCATCGTCATCAAACTCAATTACGCCTGTTATCTGGGTCAAAGTCATGAGCGTGCCACTTGACACACTGTCTGCAAACAGATAGCCCGCCAAACAACACCAGGCAGAACCATTCTTATATATATGAGATGCACACATCCTCCCCACCCTTCATGCTTCGCTTGATGCCCGCTCCACCTGGACACGCCCGGCCACTGATCTGGCATCAGATCCACAGCACAGATGGCCGAGCCTCAGCACCACCTGCCCTGCTTTTTCCAACCCAGGCGATGCCAAGACCAGGCCCGAGCCCACCTGGCATTAGCATCCAATGGAAAAGGCTTTTCACGTCTTCACACTGTCAGGCTGGCCTATGGGAGAGGTGTTTGAGATTTTTAAATCCCGCCTCCCCCACCCTTGGCGAGGACCAACTGGCTGAAACCGGAATGAGGGCCCAGCGGTGGTCTTGTCCTTTCTGCTTTCCACAATCCTGCTCCAACTGGGTCTCATGGAGCAGGATGGACTGATTTTGGAACATTGTGCTCGTGAAACAATAAAAACGGACCTCTTTTCATCTTTCATTTGCTGTACACAAGCACTATCGGTCTGTTTGCTCCTGATATGGCGTGTATGGAAGCGTGCCACCCACTAAACCTCAGTATAATAACTGGGGCAAATTTCAATCAATGCTACCCTGGATTACGTCCCATGCAGCGTGTGCCAGTGACCGTCTGAAATCAATGCTGCTGGCACACGTAGCGCGCTGTTATGCCAAAGCAGAGTATCAGGCAGGACAACTCGTACCATTGGCTTTGTCCACGAAGGCCCCCTGTGGCGAATCAGGCACACCTCTCCACACTGTCACAGACTTTGGGTAGCCGGGGTCCATGGTTCTCATTTCCTCATTGTAACGCCAGTACCTAAAGGGGAACAAATGATGAGCAGCGGGAAGACAAAGCAGGCAGTATCTCTATGCAGGCAGAGGGGAATAGCTGACAACAGATGGTCCTTTATTTCATGTGTTGTATCGTAACACCATATGTCAAACTGTTCTTTTTTTCCGCCTTCCAACTTCATAATGCAATGCTAATTATCAATCACATGCAGCGACCTTTACTAACACTACATGTAAGATCTCCACTCCCATTATCAAATCTCCAAATTATCCATTTATTTTCTGAAAAAAGTGAATCCGCTTCGATAGAAAGTGTTTTTTTCTAACTTAAAGAGGCCCTATTATGCTTTTTGTGGTTTTTCCTTTCCTGTAGTGTGCTATATAGGTTTGTGCAAAGGCTACAATCTAAAATTCCGAGTTTCTCTTGGAATGGAAATTGCAATAAGCGCAATATTTGCTAAAGATAAAATATGTAAAAAAATGTATATTAATTCATTAGGCATCGCAGAGAAGTCCCGGCCTACAAACACTATTCTACAGATTCAATACAAATGTGTAAAGATCAGAAAAAACCCGCCATGATAACTTTGATATACTTATCTCGTAAATAATGTTTAAAAAAAGATCATTCCCTCTAATGTCCAGAATCATCTCGCAGTATTACATTAAAGCACTTCCTCGTTGCACCCACCTGTCCCCTTTGAAGAAGTAGGTCTTGGCCACGTCCTCCCACCACACGGCCGTCTCGATGCTCTGGGCCGGCATGCCGTGTCCGAACTGGGCGATGTCCTTGGGGTATCCAGCCTGCAACACTGTGTCCTTAAACACCCAGAACTGCTTCCCTGCACACCGAGGAAGAGGAAGGGGGAAAGAAATGAGATGAAGAAGGACAAGAAAACAGCTGTGATTACCCTCCAGGAGCAAAACACGGAGAAGGGTAGATTTACAAGGACAGATACAAGCCTTGTAACAAATGGCAGGCAATAACCTGTTGCCTTGTATTACTCTTTTTGAAGTTGATGTTCTGCTAATTTAAAATAGGACACACGTCGTGACAAGCTCTCCTTGCCCTTGCCTCAAGGAACTCTGGGAACTTTTGAGCATTAGCGAACTGAGCTGTTAACACCCAGCTGAGAATGGCAACGACCCTCATGGGAAAATGTGCGACCAGAGACAGATTAAAATATTTAAAAGAATGTTTCCGAGCCCCAAGCATCAAAACAAATGCATGAACTTAAAGAAGATTGTGGAGGATTTTCTGCTAAAAAATCCGAAAAACATGTCACGCGTTTCTATTTTTCAGATCACATTATGCAATTTTTAGTTTGACCCTCTTTCTCTTCCGGAAAGTGTTTAGGGTTAAACAGACCAATTCTGACACAGTGTGACCCCAGGAAGTGCTTTTTTGCGTCACTAGTGGAGGCGTAGGGTGTTCCGACAGGAAGTGGGTGGGGGGTTATGGGAAGAGAAGTGTGTCGCAAGAGAGGAGGAAGTTGAAGAGGTGGAATGACGAAGTTAGAGCAGATCAACTAAGAATGTCGTATAAAGAGTCGAATCGTGTCACAAAGACTCGACTTTAAATCATTATCCTTTCAGACTATTCCATTTAATTAATCAATGAAATGAGGCTTCAGCCTGTCAGCATTCATTATTCCATAGAGTGGAAACAATATTCATCACAAAGACTATGGATTTGATCAAATCTGTAAAAACGTTCTCAGCTATGACAAAATATAAATCTGGCCCTTTCTCTTTTATGTAAACTTTGTTGAAGTAAAGATGAGCAGAGAAAACATAAAACGTCTGAAAAATATGTGTATGTTTTCAATTACCAACTATTTAATAAATCAGGTTTTACATTACATTTTCCTCTACATGAATGGCAGATAGATTATGATATACTTTTGCAAAGTCAGCTGTAAAATGACCGGCACAATTGCAGGAAAAGAGTGTGAAATAAAGCCCCCTTAATCCCGGCACTCATGCTTTAGCCTCATAAAGACCACAAATCTGACATTTAGCCTTCAGAAAGTATTTACTCTATAAGGCTAAGTGGAAGAAGGGAGATTTATAGATGGAGAGATACTGTAGGACGGCTAAATGTAAGTGGAGAGGAGAGACCTGCAGTGGCCTCTTGTTGGAGAGGAAATTCCTGTCATTTCACCTCTCTCCTTCACAGTACTCATTCTGGGTCACACTTCCTCTGACACACACACACACACACACACACACACACACACACACACACACACACACACACACACACACACACACACACACACACACACACACACACACACACACACACACACACACACACACACACACACACACACACACACACACACACACACACACACACACACACACACACACACACACACACACACACACACACACACACACACACACACACACACACACACACACACACACACACACACACACACACACACACACACACACACACACACACACACACACACACACACACACAATATCCCATCCACAAAAGTTCGACTTGATTCAGAAAAAACTAAAAAAGCTCTCCAAACTTTATCTTCTTGTTTTAAAATAGAAAAATTGGAGTTGACTCTTTTTGCCCTCCACATAAAAGTCTGGCTTCATCTTCAGAGCAGTGAGGGCAGCTTTGATGTAGTGGCAGCGTCTGCTTCAGTGAACCACTAATCCCCCGCCTGCCCTCAACACTGTATGAAGGGGGATATATATTGTAGGATGAAGGTCTGATCCAAAAAGAGACCCCTCCTCCATAAACAGGCCACACACAAACATACAGCCAAATGAAACACACGTGTGTGCAGTGAAACTATTATGTAAAATCAATGTGACATTAAATGTGATCTAAAATATCACTGATATTTTTGTGGAAGCGTCAATGGTCAAGAAATAGTCAGTATTGTTGATAGCAATGTATTTGGCGACGTTATTATTATAGAATGAATCTGTTCTTGATATAAGCTTGATAGTTCTCTGTCCGCCATTTCTGCATTTTAAGTTCAAAATATAGAATACTTATAAATGTGCAATAAGCATATGTCTGCAGACGTTTGGGACCTGCTGATGAATCGTCTAGCTCTAATCCTAAAGAACACGCTCTCAGACATGTCTGCAGGAGGTAAATTAAACTGTCTGTTCTTCGACACGAAAAGGCAGCAATCAGACTCCGATTGGATCCTGCCTCCCGAGGGGAAATACATTAAGACATATAGATCTTACTGCATGTGTAGGGTGCTGTTAAGAAACCTTGATAGAAAAATGTTGTTCGATTAACTTGATTGTAGTTCGAAATGCAACCTCTTACTTTGCGATGTAGGATAATGGAATATCTTGATGCTATGGTTTTTAAAAGTCAACTACACCTTCTTACTTTAAGATCTGGAAACAGGCAACACAGCCTCAAAATGGGCAGAAGTCCGGACTGTAGGAATGAAGAACACATGCTGAATCTATTTCTAATGAAAACCAGTGGTGTCTGTTCACTGACCTGCTCTGTGATGGCTGAACATCGCTAAGCTAATCAGTGTCTCAGCCATGACTCTGAAAGTACACTCTGAAGCCTCCATCTGTGCATTTGACTTCAGGAGAATTCATCAGACGAGGCGCTATTAGACGAGGACCTGCATTAGTATCCTGACCGAGTTTCTTACTAATGTTTTCTTCCAAATGGGGACAGACAGACAGAATAAGGCCTTCTGGGAAATCAGCTGTGCGTGTTCAAATGAAAAATAGCATTCTGTTAGTAGAAGTTTTCTAAATCTGCGCGCAATCCTGTTGCTACCCACCAAAGGGGAAGAGAGCAGGTTGTTGGAGGATAAAGCTCCGCATTCAAACGTGGAGAGATTGCGGCGCACGCGAGACCAGCAGGGCTTCCAGGAAATGTTTGTTGTTGAAAATAGAAACATGTCGGAGAGGAGATTTGTCGTTTTATCTCAGCTGACCTTCATCGCTAACCTCTCCTTTCATCAACACACTCGCCTTCTGTTTCTTTCTCTGGACTGTTTGGAAATAGTGGTGGCTTTTGGATTTAGACATAGTTAGTGTAGATTTGAATATGTTGACAAATCTCTTCAGAGGTTAAAAATGAACTGTAGACTATATCAGACAGTGAGTATTGAAGCTCTTTGACCCTGACAGTGATTTCCATGTATTTTAATCATGTTTAGCTACAGTTGGAGATTTAACCTAAAACATATATCTAGCAGCAGATTATGGTGGATTAAGTGGGCAAAACATTGCATTCATCTTCTACAGATTTATGTTGAACTCTCACACGGATAAGATCAAGGCACTTCTTTGAGTGAACATACAGCAGCGATTAAAGATTTAAAAAGTGTGTTCCTTTGTACGGACACGCCTGAATATTAAAGACATGCGCATACTTTTGTACAAAATGTGTTTTTGGGCTGAAATGAATGAAATCAAAGATCAAAGCTTGACAAAGAGCTTTACACAGACGCACTATGACAACAGCGATGATGGTTACCTTTGAAGAAGACGAACCTTCCCTCGCTGTTCTCGTAAACGGCGTCTATCTTAGCCGGCAGGCCCCTCCAGAAAACACTGATGAGCATGGGGTACCCCGGCATCACCGAGTTATCTCTCACCCGCCAAAACCAGTGATCCTGAAAGAGACGAAAGGACGCTGTTAACAAGCACGATCAAACTCAACAACAAACGGCCCTGAACCAAGTAAAAGTGTATAATACATTCTGCACTTGGTATCATGTTTTATAGGTGGAACAGTGTTTTGCCAGGAGGGGAAAAGCATTCCATAATTTGGTACCCCAAAACCTGAATTGAAATTTAGAATTGACTTCTGCGAGCGATACACTTAAGGGGATGAAGATCTGATTAACAGAATGAAACTGTGATTTCACTATAAAGTAGGCAAGTGCTCTGGAATATTCCAATTACCTGAAAGTATCTTTTAGTAACATATTTGAGAGAAGTCGATGTCATGAGTGAGAATCTTGAGTTTCTGAGAGGAGCAGATGAGATGTGTGATCTAGTGGCCATCCTAACAGACTGTTTCTGTAGGGACGCGACATTCTGTGAATTAGAACATCTGATGGAGGTGAGTTGAGGCCAGCTCCTCACTTTCACGGCTGCTGGCGACGATCACTTCAAGCTGCTGCTGTGATATCTCCGACGGCTTTAAGATCCGCGTTTACTTTCTCAGGTTGCTGAGGAAAGCCCACGAGGCTGCCGCTACGCACACAGAACGTACTGGGAAATCCATCAAGGAAAGGGGGCAGAGTGATCGCCAGGAGCTTCATGAGAAGCCAAGGGTCTCTGATTTCCTTCAGAGGGAGTGTGGGGAAGGGGAGACGTGAGCGCAGCCAAGTGGAAGGTGTGTCTTTTTGATGTTGGATGAAACTTGATGACAGAAGGGAGGCGAGGGGAGGCCCAGCTGTGAAAGCCATTAGAAAGCAGAGATGTCCCACCCTTTGGCAATAAACAGCCAATTGGGTATTGGATGGCCAGAAAGCCTGACTTCATAGCGAGGGATGCAGAGACAGAGAGAGGGGAGACAACACATCATCCCTACCCGCCTCACTCACAGTGAAAGCTGAATAAACAGGCCATTTATCAAACCTAGGTTCTCTCCTTCTCTCTCTCTCTCTGTGTCTAATCCAATTGTTTCTCCGGGACTCTCCTCTCTCCCTGGACTCTTCCTCCTCTTTCTTTTCATTTCCCCTTGTCCCTCATTCCAATTCCTCCTCTTCCTTTCCGTCTTTATACCTACTGCCTCCATGGATTTCAATTGTTCATTTCCACTGTACATGGCCCGGCCAGTAATTGGAAACAGATACAACTGTGAAATTGGATCCATTAGAATTCATTTTGAATTTATAAAGCAAGAATGTTCCTTCTTCCACCTGAATGCCCGACCAGCCCGGGCTCCACCTTTAGGAGATTTCAGCTTTGCAATAACACAAATGTCTAGAATAATTACAAATGTAGGTTTATGACATTTAGGTCATGGATTACTTGTTGAAAGTCAATCAAATGACTGAAAGAAACTCCAAATCACTACAGAGAGTCCATAATGACCACAAAAGATGGAAATTGACTACAAGAGAAACACATTGAGATAACATTTTAGAAATTAAAGAGATGTTTTTGCCAAAAGAGAAGAATACCTTTTTCAGATACTCATTAGAAGTATACTTAAAGAGCCACTACCAATTGTTCACATTATTAATCACAATAATGTTCAGAGAGGAAGAGCCAATCAGACGCAAGGATTTACCTGACTTCTAAACATTGACTACTGTTCATTTCTTTCTCAAAAATCCTTGCTTTTTCTCATTTTATTTTATAACCTCAAACCAGGCGCAATTCAGGTTAGTCCCCGGTGAGCATCTGCGGCCGCCATGTGTGTGTTCGTGTGAGTGAAGAGGCGAGAATATGACAGGCAGCGGTGTTACGATCACCGTCTCGCTCACCCCTCACTCGGCTAATGTGACGCACACACATGGTTGACTGAGAGCAGACAGCAGGTGTAAATAATTCAGAGGATTGAGGTTGAAGCCTGAGAACACATCAACCATCAGTATTGCTTTACACAATCACCTTTTACTGAGGAAAAGGACTGCAGAGGAGTTGTTGTTGTTGTGTTTTCTCAACTCGAAGCTACTATATAGACTCTTCAAGCTTAAGCTATAAGCTAGGGATGCTCCGATCGCCAATTTTGGGGCCGATCGCCGGAATCAGTATCGGCCGATACCGATCGCCGATCCAATCGAGTGGGCGGGGCCTATGGGGATCTTCCATTTAAAGTGATGTTTAAAACTCAGTTAATGGGGCTCATTCACTGGCGCTTCCACAAACAACAACCAACATAATTATTACATTCAAATGAAGTACATTATTCAAGTTTACGTTAACTTTGGATAATAACAAGGGAGAAATGAGCGGAAGCACTTTCTCTCCCCCTCTCTCCCCCTCTCTCTCCCTCTCCTGACAGCCTGTCAGTATCGTCTCATGCAGCTCACTGACCCAGTAATGAGTGACCCGACAGTGAAGAATAAATATATGTATAACTAGTTTAGCTTGTTCCAGAGGTAGATAAAATAGCTAAGTGGGTTAGGTCTAACTCTTAGACCGCTCACCGGTCCGTCACAGCGGGCGGAGCAGCAGGATTTCTGCTTCACACACGTTGCATACCGCTATTTTATTGTCATTTTCGGACACCTTAAAATACTGCCAGACTGGTGAAGCCATTTTTGCGAGCTTGTTTTGCCGCGCACAGAGAAAAGTCTCATGTATTTTACGTCATGTGATCGGCTCTCCTGATCGGCCTTTATAGAGAGCACCGATCGATCGGCAGAGAGTGAATATCGGCCGATCGATCGGAGCATCCCTACTATAAGCAATTGTTCGGCTTTTAACCCGCAGTTTTGATCCTTATATGGCAGCTTAAGAAGTTTAAACAACATTCTTTCCTCCTAGTTATACAAAGAGCAGAGACACTGATAAGAGGGGACAGCTCAGTGCCCCGTTGGACAAAATGTTCTCATTAATGGACGTCGGCATCAAAGCTTGTCTCCAACATTAACGACCAAGTGGCCAATCCAGAAACGAAAGGCAACCTCTGGGGTCCAAGAATCCCCTGCTCTAAATCTGTCCACATCAAGGAAGCAAGGTCTCCCAGTGGCTGGTAAGAGGGTGGAGCTGGACTGATAAGGATGTGTTATTTTATACCTGACTGTAGGCAGTGCAGGGGGCTTTGATTGTAGGTCTGCTAAAAACAACATGCATCATATTAAATGAGAGCAGAGGTTGAAACCATTACTAAAACAATGCTTTCCAGAATTTTTATTTCATCTACGCTTTAATGTAAAGGTTGCACTGAACAGTGGGTATCTCACTAGCTTCAAATGGCAGTTAGGTATATGGATGTAAACTCTCTGGAACACCTTGTATTGATTTCCAGAATGATGGTTCCATTAAGAAAATACTAGACTATAAAAGGAGTATGTTCTTAAGGAATGTCTGGCTTGAAAGCCTGGTTTGGATTTTCTTGCTTAACAAACTGACAAGATGGCAACGAGCCACAAATTCAAATCCAGACTTCTAAACGTCGGCTGGTCGAAGATTGTATGTACATATTTTACTCCACTCCAAGCCTGATGGGAAATGAACATCCTCTTGGTGTCTTGCTGTCTGGTTCGCTGTCTGACGGTACAAGTGAGGTCACAGTCTAGTACCATTTTAGTACGGCAGTGAAAATGAGCCTGAGAAAAGCATATACATGAAAGAGTTATTCTCTGTCTCATACAGTTTGAGGGTTCACAGAGAGTTGAACCTGAAGTGCCTCCAGCCATAAAAGTGGTAGCTGTGTAATTTCACTGAGGCATTTACTGGTGACACTGGATCTACACGCCGTGAACCTCAAGCGACCCTCTGTCACCCCACCGGAGAGGAAGATGATCGATCGTAAACTACCACCTTAAGAAGCATGACGCTAACCTGCCTTTGTAGATTAACGTGCCTGGAATAAATCAGGCCTTTCAGCTTTGTGGGGAACAAAACCTTTTAAACCCACTGGTCACCTGAAATAGTTCCTCCAGCTGTGAAAGCACTTGTGATGTTCCTTTCTCTCATATAATCCAAGTAGTCTGAGTTACAACCATGATGCTTGAAAGGCAGAACAAAAACAATTAACCTTTTACCTCCATCTGTAACTGCAACATTATCACTGAAGTAAAAGGGGCACTAAACCGATTTTACAGTTCAGTTTAGACGTAATAGCTAAATAATGTCTTCTGTGGCTTTTGAAGCAGCTTCCCCAAGTTGAATAATAACCCTGATGATGTCATTAGAGTCATACCATCTTGGGCTTTGAGGAGTGACGTTGAAAAAGAAGGCGTTTTAAAAAAAATAAGTTTTAGGGTTGCATTATGGGAAGTGTAGGATCAAACATTTCCCAAGCTTGACCCATACTTAGGGCTAAAAGTTAGGATATCTCTGCCTCTTCCTGTGTGTCCGCCAACGTGACAGAAGAGCAATACTTAATGTGTGATTTTCTCCATTATTAGTTGTATTACCTGATAATTACATGTATTAATACCTGCTGTATTAGGAATACATTTATACAATTGCTTTGGGTTTCTTAAGTGAGATGCGTAAATTCAGCATGGATTGGATAGTCTAGCATAGTTTGTTAAAACCTTACATTGTATAGAGTACAGAAGTAGATCTAGACGAATGTTGAATCCTAGTACAGAAAGTGTACAAATCTGTAGACTTGAATACACTTTTGTCAGAGGTAGAGGTGTGGCATTAATGAGGTGAATATCCTTAGGTCCCCTTTTGGAAATCAACAGGCTCCACTCTTGTTCTCAAACATGGGGAGTTTGGATGTTTACTTTTGGTTCTTTTTCGTAAATAAGATTAATCAAAACCACATGAGAAATCACTCTCAGTCAAAGTAATACGTTCAAACAGCATCTATGCAACCTTTCCTTGGGAAACTTCAGTGCTCTCAGTGTATTTCACAAGATAAAGTCTTGTTAAGTCTTCCCTCTAAACCCCTACCTACTTTACAATCCGGACCACCTGTGGACTTCAGGGCCAGTGGGACTGCTGAGATCTCTGCTATAATGACTTGGCATCGACTTGACTCTGCTCTTCCAAAACAATCAAGTAGGGATGGTGAGTATAGTCCTGCTGTTTAGGACATGGACCTACATCATGAAGTAAGTAAGAAGATAATCAATCGTATAATCGAAAGAAAGACGGAAAAAATCACCTATTTAAATGCCAGCAACAAGAGACGCTGCTTGAAATAAAACTAGAAGTAAGCCAGAGCTTTACATCATTCCTATTCTGTCAGCCATCATTTGAATCAGTCTTTAGTCTAATACGTAGACCTTGGCACGCTCTTAAGGGAATATATCAAGCTCTGGAGTAACACAACCCTCTCCAATTAGGATTGCAGATCAACTGTTTTACAGTCGGGCAGCTTCATCTGCCAGGAGGAAGCAAGGCATTAACGTGATACCTCGGAGTTCTTGGAGAAAATTGGCCAAACTATCACTGAGAATCAAGAAATATTAGGACCACCTGCTCCTCCTGTGAAACACGCTTCCAAACCAGTGATCCCTTATTGATTTAACCCCCCTAAACACATTTGATTCACTGGCTAAGCCGCTGATTATAGCCAGCAAATCATTTATGAGTCATAATGTTACTGGTGGTCCTAATGATGGTGGATTTAAAACTTCATTTACATGTGTTCTGTAACAAATCATCACCCTCTGTCAGCCCCTTCACTAATCTACACCTTTGAAGATGTGTGAGCTGGTGCTACTTCCAAAGGCCAGGAAGGAGAAACATACATCAAAGCCCTTTACTCATCAGTGGTATCGCACACATTTTTTATTTATATTTTTGTTTCATATCATACATAATTCAAAAACCCAGCATTTCATTTGGATTAAAGACGTGTCTTTTGCACGTGGGTTGCTTAAAAAGTTCCATTTCAACACATCTTTCAAGATACATACTGTATAACTCATTTCCCCATAACTTAAGATAATTATATACATTTCATTACAAGTATTATTGGAAAGCTGGCTGTAACAAGCAGAACGTTTAATTTACGTGGGTGGCCCCTGTGGATCACATGCTCATTCGACACATGAGCCTCAGGACTGTGGGTTTTAGTATGATCTTTGATACAGTTACATAAGAATTTAAGGAGAAGGTTCCCGAAAACCTTCAGGCAAGAATACAGGTACAGTGCCAATGAAACAATAGTGATTGTATCTATTAAGCTGTTGCATTAGCACATTAAAAAGCTGCTTGCTGGACACAAACGAGAACAAAAGAGATGCCTCTTAACATCAGGAAAGTATTTAGTGTCGGACAAATTCCCTGGATTACTATTCATATAAAGAGAAGAGACAGTTTTATTTTCTTAATGTGAAAGAAAGCCTTGGATCACAGGTAGAACAACTTCAAAGCCATGTGGGATCAGTTGTGGTCATTTCAAGTTAAAGGACTGGCATGTTTATAATAATAGCAATACTACAGAAATTATTCTTTAAAGTATTCCCAACTAAATTTGTTGTTCCGCCAATGCACGCAAATTCTATATTATACCCAGAGACACAAGAGTGTTGTATTTAGAGCCAAACTGTATCATTCTCTTCCTAAAATTATTAAAATGTTGGCTGAGTGATAAACGTCCTTCATGTTTCTAAGCACCTTTGAGCTATGCACAAATCCCATGATCCTCATCACTCGGTCAGATCAGGCCCTTTATCCAAGGGTGAGAGCATCCACTGCAGGCAACATGTGAGAGACATAGGGGCTGTGTTTGTACTATTGTCACAAGCACATTTTATTTCCATTCAAATAAATATATCAGAGACAGTGTAAATATTGGGTACAATTTTGGTGAAATTCCTTCACAAGTTGGAGCTCTGTGTCCGAGCTGGGTTTATTATTTTTGTATTTAAAGAACACACTCTGAGACGGGGTAGAAAGGGGGTTTCCCCAGGCTCCACAGGCCCCTTGTTTAACCGTTGAAATCTATCTATATATATCCAGAGAAAATACAGTCACTCTCACATAAAGAATGAGAAGCACTCTCTCTCCTTTCGGTGGAGAACACAGCACATCTCTGTGTTGCCTCAAGGTTTTTCTCCATTCCTCACCGCATGTATCCATTTTCTCACAAGCTTAGACCACGGATAAAGATGCATTAAGGGACATGTGCACATTTGCCTTTCGCACAGGAATGAAAACATGGCTGAATATGTTGGGAGATAACTGTGCTACACTGTGCATTGTATTATATTCTTGTTAAAATACCAATGATGTTCAGATTCCTGCTCAACTGGCACAAAGTAATCTGGTCATAGCTCATAGCTGCTTTAATTATGCACTGAAATGGCAATAGTTTTCAGATAATTGAGGAGAGTCCACCAAACTTCTACATGCATAACCACAGTTTCAAACGTCTCTCCTCTAACAAATCTACTCACTATACTACTCACGTGTAGAAAACTCCACTTACATCCAAGTGGGCCGTTTCCACATTATGCACACCATGCACATACAAAACATGAAGCAGCTTATCAGAAAAGCTCCCACCCTCTGTATATTAGGTAATCCTCGCAGCTCTCCGGCCAGCTCTCTAACCAGCTCTCACTCGACGGGGGGTTTCAAACCTGCAGGCCATTTCAATGTGTCTGAATCAATGGATGAGTTATTTTCTGTTGCATTTACTAGCTACCTAGTTTATAAAAAGAAAGGCATATGGTGTTGGTTTGCAAACATCACATGATTCTATCCTTCAACCATGGTGTCACAAGTTGGTTTGTCCCGTAAAGACTGATTGCTGTGCTTTTGGAGAGCTAAGAGATCCAAGTTTGGGGTAAAACAGCTCCAGGGTTAAAAATGACTCTTCAGTACAAACAGAAAGTGAAAATGCCTCAGGTTTTTTCACAGGCTCTTCTCTTACCTTGAAGACGAACATCTCTCTCCTCAGTATGCCCAGGGTGTTGAAGCCCCCATCGCAGATGTTGGGTTTGGCATTGGGGTGGGATGGCCTGTCTCCTGGGGGCAGCCTCGGAGGTCGCGTCTGCCTGTCTGGCTTGCGGGGGTCTGATGGAGGATGGGAGCGGGGAGGGGGTGCTGTCGGCAAAGGCATGGTGGGCTGGGGAAGTTTATCAGGAGGCCCTGTAGGAAGCCAAGACAAATATCTCAATTGTTTGATAAAAAACACACATATTCAAGTTTGAATTTCACGAGGGTGGGAAGATGTATTTAGACCAAACCTTTACATACCCTAAGAACAACATATTGGAAAACCAAAATCAACCAATTTAAGACAGTTAGAAATTGGAGACCAATTCAGGATCTGATCAGGGTATGATGAAGTGAACGGGAAAACTAGTTTATACAAGACTTAGATAGTTAACGATGTAAACAATAACATGCATGAAAGGTTATTGTGATCCATTTTCATTATACAGTAGCTTTGCCATTTATAGCTAAGCAGCCACCTGAGCATGCAAAACTATTTGTTTCACATGTAATTCAACTGACAATGATGGTGATAGAGGAAGTTAGAAGTGAGTTTGAAGACAAAAACACATGAGAGATAAAGGAGAAGATGGAAAAACAAGAAGAGGTCATGCGAAAAACAAACCGTGGGTAGGATACAACACTGCCAAGTTCAGGGACTCATCTCTCCAAAGCGTAATATGATATGTTAAGATGAATAAAACAGAAACAAAGCGCATATGGGACATCAATGTATAAAGGCTACTGTGGTGATAAAAATAAAAATCTGCTCCCAAATGGAGGCCAAGACGAGCCTCGGCGTCATTCCACATTCATGATTTACATGAGAGAGAGTGGGAAACATAGAGAGGAAAAAGGAGGGCGAGGAGAGAGGTAGAGGGAGGCCAAGCGAGTGGGTTGTTAGTCTGAATATTTGAGCACATGACAACACATGAATAACAGTGTAACTGTGAAAACCAGGATATGAGTTGCCATGTGTTGATTGGGGCCAGCAGATGCAGGAATAGATCAGTGCAACATGAAACATGGAAATGTGACGAGCAACCCCCCCCCCCCCTCATGCACAGTATCGATGTTGGCTTGTATTAATAATAACCTTGAAAGCTACAGTACATATTCAGAAGTTATGAATGAATGATTAAATTAGTTGACAAATCATTTAAAAGTAAAATTATAAGAGGATTAAAAGTAACTGAACGAGCAATCGTTGAACTAAAGGAGTAAAACTAAAGTGAACCATCAAACAAAGAAATAACCATCTAACTGGTGAACACACCCGTGTGTTTGAGAGATTACGAGAGGACTCTGCTCTGTTAGACACCAGCCAGTTCGCACAACTGATCAGCGAGTCTACACGAGAGATCCCATTCACGGACTGAATTAAATCCCCTGAAATACACCCCAGATTAGCGGAGCATAAGCGCTCTGCTGTTATGTAAGCATCGGGAAGACTCGCAGTCAGATGGACATGTAGACAAACATACAAATGTGTACACACAGCACAGTATTATAGGAAAACCATGGCAAGGAAAATGGAACATGGTATCAGGCAGATTTAGGATCTTTGAGTTAATTTGAGCCACAACATTTTTTTTCCCCAACAATTGGGAGTTGCCCTACATGTCGGAGCTCAGCTGGTGTGGTGATTGGCTGTGGTGAAACCCTCCAAACTCCTTTGCCTTGATGAAATGTAGTCATTAGTCTAGACTGAAGGTCTGAAGAGCGTCTGAGTGTCAACACATGGTTACACAGCGTTTGACTTTCATCAAATCAAGGAGCACACAACAGTTGCATAATAAAAACACAATACATCAGAGAAAGCCTACGTTTTAATCCCTATTATGGTATCCTACATTTCCCATGATGCAGTTCGATACATGTATAGCCCCTGCATATGTTGTAGTAAATATTATGTTAGTATTATATATGTTGATTTTTATGTATACTTGACTAAAACAACGTACTTTAGTTTAGTTAGAAATACTTATGGGTTTTAGTAAGAGAATCTGAAGGATCAATGCATCCATCATGTATTTCTGATTCTACTATTAGCACTCTGGTGAGAAACAGAATGAGTACAGATAGATGTCCAAAAGTGTACTTGTGAATCGAACCTCCACATCCTTTGCCTTTCTGACCTTTTTATTCCCACAATTCACTGTGATTCCTCTTGGCTTCCACTACCTGCAACTCAAAGTCCTACATGAAAAGTCTCCGTATATATCCATTGCCCCTCCTACACCCGTCATTCTCATAAAATCTCAATATATCTTTATTCAAACAACCAATTCATCCAAATGTACAGATCATACCAATGTCCCATTTAAACCTTTACATCATTGCCATGAGGAAGAAAAGGAGGCCAACTGCTGCTGGAAATAAAAAAAGGAGACCGATAGTGGAGATGCCATCACTCGTCCTGCCCTTCAACTCTTGGTGCGACTGAGGGGGGCGGGAGATGAAGAGAGATTTGATCACTTGCCCAGGTCTGTCACTCCCTGAGGGACGTGCCCTGACCATGTAAGCAGATGGCAGGTTATTTTGTATGTATGTGTGTGTGTGTGTGTGTGTATGTGCAGCCATTCATATGACAGACCCGAGTCATCTCAGCGGAGTGTGACTGGTTTACATTCATGGCAGCTGTACGGGACAATACTGTCACTTCCAACCAAGTTGTTTCTGAACTTTGACGTCAAACTGAGGTAAACATGAACATAAGAATTCCTGAATCTCAAAATGATGGGTTCCTCCACAACAAATGACATGTAAAAAAATGTTTAAATTAAAGTCAAAGCAAAATCCTTCCCTTTGAGCCACTAGTTCAACTCTGAGAGAGTAGAAATGAAGACTACGCTGATGATTACATAAATATGTGACAGTCAAATTTAATTTCACACTTTGGATACACCCGCCCCAGAGCTACATCAGCTTTATGAGCAGACATAGCAATGCAATCAGCTTTTGACAACTCCAAATGTGTGTCAATGAGAGGTGCTTTGATGATGAAACGCTCGCCTCCTGTGATCGATTAGACAGATCCAGCTGATTTCGTAAGCTGCCGCTCGAGACTCACACCAGGAATGTGGATCAGATCCCTTTATTTCTCATTCTTTTACACACATCATTTAAATGTTCTACTATTTTGTAACGTACATTTCTACATCTAAATGAAGCCAGGAAGCCTTACCATAAATCTTCTGGATGCCCAGCAGGTCGTCCATGGGCAGTTTGAAGTTGTCGGTGTCCATGTACTGGTAGAAAGGAGCCATGATGGCCGTGGGGTCGTTGGAGTGCTCGAGGCCCAGCGCGTGGCCGAGCTCGTGGACCGCCACCAGGAACAAATCGTTACCTAGAAACAGAAAGAAAGAGAGCAGTCCGTCATCGCTATGCTCACATTTAAAATGTCTTTGTAGCAATTTATATCTCACATAAGCTACTCCTTTTATAGTTGGCGCTGGGAGTGTGTTTCCCTCAAAATAAAGCCAAGATTAAAGCCAAACAGACTTTAGAGGGAAACGTTTCAGTTGATGGTTAGCCAACAAAATTAGCCCATGTCGATGCAACAATACGTAGCCAAATACATGTGTATGAGCATAGATAATCCACTATGTATGTACCTCATGAGTGGATTACGTAGCAGGCTGCAGCCCCTGATGGGATACATTACACAACCCCTATATATGAACACATTCATATTGTATACACACACATCCCCCCCCACACTGTGTAATTAGTCTCCGGGCGGTGGTAAGCCGATGACTACACTGGGTTGACCTTTTGACTCAGAAGCCCACTGTGGCCAACAGCAAAGCCCTAACCCAATCCCAACTGTATTAGGTTTGGATGTTTGGGATTTAAAGCCGCCCCTCTGTGTCCCATTTAAGTTATTGGACTTACGTCACAGGCAACCAAAACAACAACAAAAACATTCCTCCTCTCTGATGTTGCGCAAATATGTCAAATCTAACCCATAAGGAAACTCATCATTGTTGGGAAACTCGTGATTGTACAATAAGGGTTGCTACAGTATGTCTTATGTATAATTTATAGTACACTGGCTGTCTGTGGGAAGCTATTTATGTGAGTCAAAGGAGACATCTAATGTTTTAAAATACAGTACTTCATGCAGATGTCTTTCTAACCATTCATGAATGCAATGTGAGAGCAAACTGTGACCTTTGGGTATTTGAATCACTCCTTTAAGTCAACACACTTTGGGAGACACAGAGCTGCTTTTTTGATAGAAATTGGGAAATGGACTGATCAAATGCACAAGATCTAAAATTCTTTGATCCAGGTTGTCTTTAACGATGCTGACCCCGCTGCCATCTTTCCTCAGTTTTTCCCTTTCTCTCTTTTTTTGTTATCACGCTGAGAGACTCGACAGGCATGAAAAATAGCATCACTTATTCATTGCATTTCCTACGAAAATGAGGCACTTATCTGCTGCAAATCTGCTACATGAATAACGCATCATCAGATACAGACAGTGATTCAGAACACTTGCTAGCAGGTTCAGTACAATGCTTGAATTTACGCATCAGACTTCTTAAAAGAGATGGCCTGATTGGAACCTGGTTGATGATATTTGACTGTAGAATTGTCCGTGAGTCTACATTTGTGTGATATTAAGGCCTCCATTGCACAAGTGTTAAAGTTCAGACATTGCTATCCAAGGTTTTGCTGAAAAAGCTCAAGCTTGTGAAACTTTTTTAGAGAATGGTCTGTGGCACTAGTAGGTTTCCTTAAGGTCGATGTATTTTTGGTGTAAACCCATTCAACTACTAAAGCACTTCTTGAAGGAAATGCGTGTGTTTGCTGTGTGCACTGAGGCAGTGGGGAATCATTTTTGAATGACCCTTTGAATATTAAATGCATAGGGAGTGAATGGAGGCTTTTAAATTAAGCTTCAATACATCTAACAAAAAAGGGAAGGAGACTTGTTTTGCATGTATGTTTATCTTAGTTCAACTATAGTGCATCCTATTGAATTGACCCTCGGTTGGTGTACTGCTGGGGACCCAAGGGAGCGCAGTGTTGAGTGACAAGTTGTCTGGATGAGTGGTTCTTGCCAAAGCTGCAAGAAGCAACTCTTAGGCCTAGTGATCTATGTATGTAACTCATAAGATACAGGACAGCTCCTAGTGATCTATGTATGTAACTCATAAGATACAGGACAGCTCCTAGTGATCTATGTATGTAACTCATAAGATACAGGACAGCTCCTAGTGATCTATGTATGTAACTCATAAGATACAGGACAGCTCCTAGTGATCTATGTATGTAACTCATAAGATACAGGACAGCTCCTAGTGATCTATGTATGTAACTCATAAGATACAAGACAGCTCCTAGTGATCTATGTATGTAACTCATAAGATACAGGACAGCTCCTAGTGATCTATGTATGTAACTCATAAGATACAGGACAGCTCCTAGTGATCTATGTATGTAACTCATAAGATACAGGACAGCTCCTAGTGATCTATGTATGTAACTCATAAGATACAGGACAGCTCCTAGTGATCTATGTATGTAACTCATAAGATACAGGACAGCTCCTAGTGATCTATGTATGTAACTCATAAGATATAGGACAGCATGCTAAATGGGCCTCCATAGACTGAAATACACTATACAAATCACAACAATAATTACTGTGCATGTCATCACAGCAAGCCATTGCACAGTTAGTCAGTGTATTTGAAAGATTGTACCAATGTATTATATCCTGCAATTACATTGGGACTGAATGGAATTGCCATGAAATATAATGCATACAAAATAATCAATAAGAGTTTAAATCATAACACCCATCTACAAAAAAAACATTTGATATATCAATCGTTATGGTATTATTAAAAACTTACAGCAATTATTTAGTAGGAAAAACAGGCAAAGTTAAAAATGATATTGTTAATAATAATGCGTAATTCTAGAAGTGCGTCATTTCAAAACAAATGCAGTATTGATAAATGAGAGCTGTACCAATGCAGGTCCTATAACTAAAGATGCTGTGCGAGTAAAAGGAAAGACTGTCTGTCTTTTTACATCTCCATCTTGTTCTATCCCTCAAATTGAGTCAGCCTTTCTGCCTCCCGGGGCCATTTGAGGCCAGCGCTGTCACTTTGTTTCGGCTGCTTATATAAGTCGCTGTGGTGGATAGGGATGTCCTGTTGGCCCCGGGGCCACAAACAAAGCCGAGCATGGTTGTACTAATTATCAGCTGGACAGTATACACAGAGGAAGGTAGAGAGGGTATGAGGCAAAGGATGGGAGAAACAAAGAGGTAACAAGGGGAGAAAGGAAGAAAGATGAAGGAAAAAGTTAGGGAAGGGAGGAAGAGACTAGTAGATGCATAAAGAGATCAAAAGGTCAGGTAAAAAGAGGAGAAAGGGCGTTTGGAGCGATAACTGCTTAAGAATGTCCCCTGCAATCACAAAAGATGGAGATGATGAATTATATAACCGTAACTTTTGACCTTGGAGTTTGAATCATCATCCTCATGTCCGTGGCTGTTTCTCAGCCAAAGCAAAATAAAGCAAAAATATAGCGAGGGCTTCCACAGCGGGATACATTTGAAGAAAACAATGCTGAGAGATGAAATACATAAAGCTGTGCAGGGCTTGTGTGATAAACCCTGAGGGCAACAACTTTTGAGTTTGTCGGGGGAAAAGAAGAGACATTTTTACCACGCAGTGATTCATCTGTGCCATCCGTTGGTTTGGGCAAGAATTTAGCAGGAAAACAAGGCAGTCCAAGCTACTATTTAAATCATAAAAGCCACATTTGATGCAACAAAACACTAAAATTAAATGTGTGCGTGTGCAATGGTCTTAATGGCAGCCCGCGTTGGCAGCAGACTCCCCATGGGTAGGTCAATGTTGCTTTAATTAGATAGTGTTTTAAAAAACTCCCCAGCAACACTACTGAGGGACGATAAAGTGGAAGAGATGGAGGAGGAGAGTCACCGGAGATTTATGTCCAGAAGTACCTCTCTCCGTCTCTCCCCTCAGGGTTGCAGTAAAGTAAACAGCGGTTGTGATTAGAAACCAGAAACTTCTACCTGCTCCTTTCACCATAATTTACTCCCTGCACATGCTGCCGCTGCTACATCCCATCTGCTGGCTGATGTGACATGGGAAAAGTGGCTTTCAGACATAAACACGCATGGACAAACACACACCGGCCCACAAATCAGACACGGGGCCCTGGACACTACTGTTCAATTGCAATAATAACTCAAGTTGTCAGCGCAGGACTCCAGAGGCTTGTATCCCTTTCTGCTGCCTTACTGTTTAACTAAGAGCCCAATACATTCACTCAATACATGACATCTGACGTCAGATACAAGCTGGGGACTAGTAGGCTGTCCACTTGTTGGTTTTTCTATTCTTCAATCCCTTTTGCTCAGTATTTATTATCACTCTTGTTTGAGTTCATCGAGAGACCCATTATTTCTCTCCAGGCAGGAAAGCTTTTTCGGAGAACATAACAGCCCCTGCAATGTTAAAACCATATGAACAACAAGCGATCGGCCGCAAAACAAAGCTATAACAAAATGTAATTGTACAGACGCCCAGCCGAGACCGGCCATTTGTACCTCCTCCACCCTTTCTTTAGAAAGCACAGCAGCGATTGTTACTGCTGTGTACTGCATCTCATTGCTGTTGTTATGCCGTCCAAGTCCAAGCAAGCACTGTGTTTGTCCCGGAGGACCTCAAATGTTTCCCATTGTTCAGCGCCCACAGTTCCCTGGGTGGATGACACTGCACTTTCAGAACTGGTCTGGGAAAAACTTGTTTTGCGGGGGGAAGGAAATGCAAAAAGTGGTTAAATAAAAATATTTTCTGGGAGTGAGGCAGTGGGAACAAACCTTTTATTTTTTAACCACAATAATGTTCCAATTGTGCTTACTGTAAATGATTGGATGGTGCTAAACACTATTTATTTACGTGGAGATTGTTTTAAGAACATTTTCATACAATTGAACTGTCCAATTGGGTTGGTGAAGTGTATATAACAAAATATCTGAAAATATCTGGAACACGTCTTGTGGAGCTGCAGAGAAATCCTGGTTATAAAGACATTAAAAAAAAGGCTTATAAGTTACAGATCCTCCTAAAGATATATCATGTCATATTTGCTATATCAGTCAAATGTATTATTATTCCGATGGTGAAGCCCTCATGGTGATCCCTGAGACTGACAGAGCTCAACAGTAGAGAGCAGTAACAGGAAAAGGAAGGAAATCAGCTGTTATCTACCAGCAGAAGAGCAGTTCACAATATTGAAACTGAATATTGTTTATTTTAGTCGGTACGTCATCAGAAATCAGGACAACCTTCA